AGCTTCCAGATGAGCCAGGCTGTGGGGCAAGAACTCAGCCAGCTCCCAGCCTCAGGCAGCCTGGGGGATGATTGACCTGGAGAAAAATCATGCATCTTCCAACTGGCGAGCCCTGGGTTGCCCAGCAAATTCCATACGCGGGTCACCTCCCCATGCACGGTACCATGTGCCGTGGTACCCTCTGCCTGGTAGGGTGGAGGCTGGGGGTGGGGCCTGCTTCCCTTGTGCCCTGTCTCTTTTGGTGAGTCTCTAAGCCTCTCCACACCTGGCTCCCTCACCCCCCAAAATGGGCCTGGTAAGGGCATTTGGCTCCAGGGATAAGTGCTCACTAGGACTTTGGGTGTATTTCAGCCTTCCGTTGCGCTAAGGCACTGACCAGGGCTGCAGACAGTTCACAGCACAGCTGTACGCAGGCAGCAGAGGGGCCAAGATTCCTGCTAGGAGACAAGTGAACCCGGGAGTCACCTTGGGACCCCGGGGAGATAAATTCACTGGGACACAGGTGAACCCAGAGCTTGAAGACTGCCAATTCAGGGAGGCCCCACTGACAAACCCACTGTCAGGACAGTCTTGAAGCTCAGAGATACTCCAGTGGATGGTGCTGACCCAGGGGAGGGGCAAAGAGCTTAAAGAGGGAGAGAAGCCCCAGTTAGTACCCTGAGGAACACCGCTCATCTGCACAAGCGTCAGGGAAAACTCAGTGAAGCCAAGGGAGTGGGAGGCAAGGGAGGTTTGGGGTGGGGCAGGGCAGGGCTGAGGGCTGAACTTGGGGAGGACCAACCTGAGAAGCCTCAGCTCTTAAGAACCAGAAAGAAAGCTGAGGTAACCACAGGGACCCCCCAACCCCCGCAACAGGGCCACTACCTCCACCAAGTGAACGGGATATGAAATACGGAATGGCAAGGTGGTGCTAAGAGGCAGGAGAAGCTCACAGGCAGGTACAGGGGATCACCCTGAGGCAGCAGGCAAAAGGAACCCTTAAAACCTAGACTCAGTCAGGCGTTGCTGGGTGCCAGCTCTACACATGGCTACTTGAAACATGTAGAATACAGTAGTGGCATAAATCACAGGCCCCCAATCTCAGACAAGGCAGCCAAATCCTACACAAGGTGTCAGCAAAAGGGGGCAGGAGAGATGGCTCAATGGTTAAGAGCACTGGCTGCTCTTGCAGAGGACCTGGGTTCGATTCCCGGCACCCACATGACAGATAACAACCATCTATAACTCCAGTTCCATGGGATTCAATGCCCTCTTCTGACCTCCACAGGCATCTCAGAACACAGGTATGCTTACATACATGCAGGCAATGCACTCATACACATTAAATAAAAATAATAAACAAAAGACTTTTTAAAGGCAAAGAGAAAACAGAGGTAAAGGATTTGGTACACATGTTGGAATGATTTGACCATGATTAATGTGTGGAAGGTTCCAGTGGGAAGTGGTAGCCTGGTGCCTTGTGTCAGTCAGCAGAGATGGAAAACCTGAGATGGGATCAAATGGACACAAGGAACAAAAATCAGGAGGACAGAGGAGCCACATCTCCCCAGCTCCTCAAGATGCTGTACAGCAAAGGAAAGGATGCCCAGACTCCTAGAGGAAGAGCGTGAGACAGGGTGGGACCCTGAGAGTCGAGGGACTCCGTCAAATATGCTTGCACAGATGTTTCTGGAATCTCAGCCTTAGAGAGGGGGCAGAAGTATAAAGAAGTGACAGTCACAGCTTCACTGAAATGCTGCCACCTCCGCTTCCACGTCCATCGTCAGCTTGATGCAGTCTAGAGTTGTCTGTGATGGGAATTTGGATTGAGGACATGCCCAGATCAGATTGGCCTGTGGGCAAGTCTGTGAGGGGCTGTCTTGATTTGATAATCCTGTGGGAGGTGCCAGCCCGAGGGCAGGTAGTCTGGGACTGGATAACACAGCCAGCAAGCAGCATTAGTGGTTTCGGCTGGACTTCTTGACTGCGTGAGTTCCCCAGTCAGAGTATGTTGTGTACAATAGCAAGTGGTCCTGCTTTTCACAAGCTCATAAGATACATGATCAACAAACAGAAATTAATTCCACTTCTCTCTGCATACAAGGAAGGGAAAATTGGAATTTTAAATGAAAAATCAAATATACCAAAATTTAAATGTTTAGGTACAAATTTTAAGATATGCCAAGATCACACGCTGGGAACTAACCTCACTGCCTCACTGCTAAAGGCAAGTGGGGCGGTTGGAGGAAAGTTGTCCCCTAGGTTCATGGATCTGAACACTTGGTCCCCAGCTGGTGGCGCTGTTCGAGGAGGTCAGGGAACCTTCAGGGGGTGGAGCCCTGCTGGAGGAAGTGTGTCACTAGGATGGGCTTTGAGAGTTTATGGTCTTGCCCTGTTTCCAGATTGCTCTCAGATTCCTGCTTGTGGTGGAGACGTGATCTCTCGGCTTCCTGCTCTTGTCGCCATGCCTGCCTGTTGCCATCTCTGTCCTTAACGGCATTAGCCTCTGAAACCCTAAGCCAAATAAACGTTCTTTCTTAAAATTCTTTTGGTCTGTGGATCCTTAAATTTACAGACCAATATCCCACTTTTCACCTATCAAAGAAGCTTCTTTTTCAACAAACAGATTATTAGAGTTACGCCGCCAGTCACACACAGAGATTGTCTATGAATTGCTCAAGTCTAAGTGGCACATGTAGATACAATCCCTATACCTAAGACTCACGGAACATAGAACAAGGGATGAAGAGAACATTACGCATCTTTCATTTCTTGTCAATGAAGCTCCCTCATGCAATAGAGGGCCAGGAGCACAAAAGGTCACAATGGAGAGAATGAGAGTCTGCAGAGTGTGGGTTCTTGGACAGGACTCCTATAGTAAAATTCACCCACCCAGGGCTCAGGGACCATTTTGGAAGAAAAGGCAGAAAGACTGTAAGAGCCAGGGAGGGGGTACATGACCATATGGAAATAGAGCCTTACTGACTCCTGGAACCTTGCTCGTATGAACCTACAGCAATGGTGTCAGCACGCACAAGACCCACACAAACTCAAGCAGACAAAAACCCAGCACAGAACTGTGGGAATGGGCAGCAGACCCCAATCTTAGTCAAAGAACTATTGGCAACTGATTACTGCTGAGTGAGGAAAAACTGATCTTCCTAAATCGAGGGACTCTAGATAGACTGACTAGACCTCAGTGGATGAACTTGCACTGTGGGACATCTGGAGACACTAACTTGATATGATAGGCCTTAACACAAATCACAGAATGTATAAATTCAAATGGGGGGCTATTAGAGGGGGGTCAGTGGGGAAGGGGGTATAAAGATGATTAAGATGTTCTATATGAAATACACAGAAATTCAATAAAAGATTGGAAAATAGATGCTTTGGGTCATGGCATTTTATCACAGCAACAGAAAAATAATACCGCAAATGATGTCTAGCTAAGGTGGGGAGGACTGGACTCAAGGCCTCTTGTGTGCTAGCCAATGCTCTACTATAGGAAGACTGAGCTCTGGGAGTAATATTCTGACTAAGTTTGTCTATGGACTTAATGCAATCACAGTAGGCTTTTAAAACTTTTAATTTCCATTTAGTTTATTCAATGTATTTTTATTAAATTCATGTGCATTTCATACACTACATCTTGATCATATTTAGACCCCTCCCCTATCTGCACCCCAATAGCCTGACCACCAGATTTCATGCATTCTGTCATATATGTTAAGGCCTATCAAGTCAAGTTTGTATGCTCAGATGTCCCTCATTGTGAGTTCATCCACTGGAACCTGGTCAGCCAATCTAGCATCACTCCCTTAAAGAAGGCCAACTGTCTCTCACCCAACAGTGATCAGTTACCAATACAATAATTCCTCAGTTAAGCCTGGGGCCTCCTGCCCATTCCCCCAGTTCTATGTTGGGTTTTTGTCATATTGAGCTTGCATGGGTCTTGTGCATGCTGTCACATTGCTGTAAATTCATATGAACAAGTTCCCAGAGATTGCTTCCTTGTGGTCATCCAACATCCCTGGTTCTTTTTTAATGCAATTTTTTCAGGGTTTTATTGCAAACCAAAATTGGTTTATCACACACACAAAAAGTTGTGTGGTAAGGAGGAGGAATTGTACATATTGTAACCATGTTGATTACAATATATTAAAATAGTAGTTTACAAATAAGCCTATAAGTTTAAATATACTAGTGTTATAACCCAATGTACAGACTTTACATACATTTATCAGGAATGCAAAAAAAAAACATAAATAATGCCCATTTTGCAGGTGACATTTTAAACAATGAGAACACTAATGGCTCTGACCAACAACTAGGGCACTGGTCCATAAAAACCCTTTCTAAAAAATAGAAATATTTAACCATCTGGATGTAAGTCATTGCAAGACCATTTCAATAAATTTTAATTAATTATATCTTGCCCCCCCCAAAAATAGTCTACACATAAATTTGTCTTCCAAATATGGAAGAAACAAACAATGTCCCACATTATAGTGTCCTGCAAGTGTCACATTGATGCTTATAACAAAAGCGTCCGTGATCAGGCATACCACGCTCACACCACTGTTCACACAGGAAATACACAAAGAAAAATGGAGAAGTAAACACTGTGATAGGAATAGCTTTGGAGCTAACACGATCTTATCAGAAAAGCACACTGCAGAATATTTGTGATCTCAGCCAAGACAGACCTGTGGAAGATCCCTCTTAGACCTGCATCTATCTTCCTTCTACCAAGACCATGGCATCCAAGGCAGCACTGTGATGCTCATTTAAGAGCTAGCACCATGTTGGAAAAATAAAAATGAAAACCTCACGAGCTCACTGAGAGGAGGATGTGCTCTTTGAAAAGCTTCCAGCAAGCAGTGTGCAACAGGATCGCCAAGCTTCCAGGTGTGCAAATCCTCCTTTTAAGATGTTCTGTCATCTGGCAGCTCTACCAAAGGCTAACTAAAACATTAAAATACACACAGAAAATCCTTCAAAACCATGCCAAGAACCGCTCAGAGGAAAGAGTCCATGGGAGGTGCACAGGAGAAGACAACAAAGGCCTCTGCAGCTTCCTTGACGCTGGCCGTGGCGAGGATGCTGTCAGGGGACCTGCCAATGGAGCTGGGGACTGGCTCCTAAGTAAACTCTGGATCGAGGTGCTGCAGGTCACTGGGTCTGCTCACATTTGGGTTAAAAGAGGGAGTAATCTTCTTGTTGATGAGACCATCCCAGCTAATTAGAGAGAAGACGTGATTCTTGATCTCCATAAAGTCATCCTTGGCACCCAGCCTCTTTGTCCGGTCCTTCTTCAGCAGGCCCTCCAGGAGGTGTCTTGCGGAGTTTGTAATATTTGGTTTCAACTGGAAGGGCTTGTTCAAAATGTTGTCATACATCTCAGCAGTGTTCCGACTGTAAAAAGGAGGCAGGCCATACAGCATCTCATACAAGATGGCCCTGAGGCACCACCAGTCCACTGTCCTGTTGTAGGGCTGCTTGTGAAGGACCTCCGGTGTGAGATACTCAGGCGTGTCACAGAAGGTGGATGTTGTGCCATTGTATTCAATGTTCTCCTTGCAGAGCCCAAAGTCTGTAAGGACAATGTGTCCCAGGGAGTCTAGCAAAATATTCTCTGGTTTTAAGTCTCTATAAACGATGTTCAGAGAGTGCAGGTAACCCAAGGCACCGGCTATTTCAGCTGCATAGAAGTGAGCCCGTGGCTCTAGGAAGCAGTGCTCCCTCTGGAGTTGGTAGTCTAGGACAAAATACAGTGTGTCGCAGTCTGGAAAGAGAAAGAAAAACAGAAGTGCAGGCCCACCAGGAAAGGGTGTTTCGCGTTCTTCAGGAGAACATTCCGCTCTGATATAGGATGCTTCTCCTCCTCCTTCTTCAGGAGGGCTTTCTTCTGTAAAACTCTGACTGCATAGAGCACTTCCTCTGTCTTGTGTCTGGCTAGAAGAACCTTTCCAAAACCGCCTTTCCCAATCACTTTGAGGAAGTGAAAGTCAGATGGTTTAGCATGGGGATTAGATGATGGACCAAGGTTGATTTGTTGAGAAGGACTTGGCGGAGGAGAAGGGTTGGCATTCATAAGCTCGGGCTCCCGAGGCTGGGAGATTTTCAAAATGGACTGAACTTCAGGGTGTTTGCATGCATTCGAGTTATTGGCAATCTTCTGAATAAAGTCATTCAGTCCCATCCTCTGTTTCCTTAAAGCGATGAGAATCGCCACCATGCCACTCATTCTAGAGCAGGTGAGGGTGTCTCTAGCAGCCTTGGTTTTCACAGTCATTGCTCCAAAGAGATCACAGCAATATCTCGAAGCAGAGACGGGCTGAGCCAACTCCCTGGCTCTTACCATCTTCTGTCCCCTCTTCTACAATGGTCCCTGAGCCCTGGGTGGGTGAGGTTTAATATGAGTCCTATCCAGGGACATGGACTCTGCAGTCTCTTTTTGTTTTTTTTAAATTATTTTTATGTGTATGAGTGTTATGCCTGCATGCATGTAAGTGCACCTATGTCATGCAGTACCCATGGAGGACAGAAGAAGGCATCAGATCCCCTGGAACTGGAGTTCTGGATGGTTGCTAGCCATCATGTGGATGCTGGAATTTGAACCTGGGTCTTCTGCAAGAACAGCCAGTGCTCTTAACTGCTGAGCCATCTCTCTAGCCCTGCTCACTACTAGTTTCTTATTCTCTATATTTTGGGCGGTTATAGGCTTCTGTGTTAACTGCCCTCTGTTGCATGAGGAAGTTTTGATGGTGAGAGTTGAGAGATGCATTAGTTCCATGATGTTCCATGAGCCTTCGGTGTAGAGGTTCCATTGCAGATGTGTCACTTAGGGCTGCACATCTCACAGACACTCATTCTCTGAGTGTGATCTGCTGTGGGAGTCTGTAATAGTACTTTATGCTGTATTTACCCCACGCCGTAGGTGTTTCTTCAGTTTCTTTTAGGATATCTTTTTTCTTCTGTGCAACCTCTCATGACTTTGGAACGGTTTGTTCCTTTTCAGTGATGATCAGCACAATGAAGCGGCGGGGGGGAGGGGGACTGGGGGGGGACGGATGGACGGACAGACTCGTGTATGGATTAATCCAATGAAATGGTCTGTAAGTTTGGTGGTGCATCTTGGGTGCTGGAAGATGTTCAATGATTAGAGTCTACATCCAAATCCTGGAGTTCAGCACCACCCTCTACATTTTAAGCATGTGCTGCAAAAATTTAGCACTCTTTTTAGGCCACTGACCCTGTGTCCAGTCCCACTGTTTGGCATAGGCACCCCTTACCAATTCTACCATTAAACCACCACAGTGACATACTATTTCTTCAAAGTGATTTCAGATACTTGGTGGGTTTTGTGACACACATAGCCTTGATTCCTTGATGGACTGTGAGTTTTATGGGTATTCTTTCTTTCTTTTTAATATTTTATTTATTATTTTCATTTTATGTGTATGAGTGTTGCATGTAAGTGCACCTATGTCATGCGATAAATCCCACAGAGAACAGAAGAGGCTGTCAGATCCCCTGGAACTGGAGTTATGGGCAGCTGTTAGCTGCCATGTGGGTGCTGGGATTCAAACCCAGGTCTTCTACAAGAACAGTCAGTGTTCTTAACCGCTGAGCAATCTCTCCAGCCCCTATTTCTAATTTTATAAAAATTTATTAATTTGATGTGTGTGGGTGTTTTGCCTGCATGTATGTAAGTGTACCCATGTGTAAGAGGGGTAGGCCAGAAGAGGGCATCAGATCCTCTGGAACTGGAGTTACAGATAGTCATTAGCTGTCTGAACCAGGGTCCTCTGCAAGAGCAGCCAGCCAGTGCTCTTAACCACGGGGCCGTCCCTCCAGCCATGGATATTCTTAAAGTGAACACAAAGATTTGAACCTCTCAATTTGTATGATCTTGTAGGGTTTTCTGAACCAAGATGTCTGGAGTCCTCTTCTGCACTTTGCCTCTACCCATGTGTGCTCAGCCTGGACCCCAGAATAAGCCAGTCCCCACCCCCCAAGGAGCCACTGCAATGGAAGGAATGGAGGGAGAGACACATCGCTCCCTCCCTCCCTCCCTCCCTGGACTAGTCTCCCAGAGGCCCTTGTGAGGAGGGTCTGTCCTTTGACTTTTCAGACCCCTCCCTGAACTTCTTAGGGGTGACCTTGTAGTTCATCTTTGAGAACTGCCCCCCCCCCCAACTATACTGCTCCTGCCTGGCCTTCGAGGACGTGCAACCTGGGTAGGCTAGTCAGAAGTTGCCCTGGGTTTCTATGCAGATTCTGGAGAGAAAGGGTGTCAGGGTAGGACCAGGAGGGACTGCTAGCCACACCTTCTGCCCCTCAGGTGGACAGGGCTCTGCTCTACATCATAGCCAGGCATGCCCTGAAGCCTGAAGCTGCCCTCCTGAGAAGTGCAGGTTCATCAGTCCTGCATCTCTCCCCCCCAGCTGCCAGGGCCAGTGCACAGAGAGGTGAAGACTAGCCCCTGCTCTTGGCAAAAACTGCTAGAACAC